TTTGCCAGAGACTTACAAGTCAAATTGCAGTTAATAACAAACAAACTGACATGCATTGTAGCTGATCTTTCTAATAGAGACTAATGGCTTAGGTGTGAGTCAGTGCAAATTCAAGCTGACTGCCCACTTCATGAAAAAAAAAAAGAAGCCCTGGATTGTTCCCATTAAATCTTCATTACACACTAAGTGGCATACAATCAACTATTGATAGACACAAATTGCTGAGGCTTGCAGTGGGAGACACCCTGAAATGCTAATGTTTAATTTGTAGTAATAAGCCATGGCGCTGAACGCAGGCAGCTCCCTCTCTGAATGGTCATGAGCAGCAACTGAAACTACAGTTTGGAGCTAAACAAAACAACAAAAGAAGATGACCTTCAAACTAATAATAGCGTCTCTCCCTCTGAAATCATTCCCCTTCTTGAGCTGCGGGAGCCGCCCGCATCAAGTGGTATTTATCTCTTTTGTTCATTGTGTTTCTATGTGAACATGGAGCTCTCTAAGCCAGGCAAGCCAGTACACATAAGCCCTGCTATTCAGGGTTTTACTTTGTTTGACGATTGTGTACTAATATGTGTACAGTATAATGAATAGAGCTTCCTTTTTTTTTCAGCAGAAATCCAAATAGAGAGCAGCAGGCTTGAATAGAAACAGAAGATTGCTGTAAAACCTGGCTGAAAACAGAATGTCAGGACAATTTCATTAGGAAGGGGTCAAACTCAGCTCCTGGTTTGATAATGAGGCATCATCCTTGAGTGTTTTAAAGGTCAAAACCAAATTGTGCATCAGTACCTCCACCAACCCTTGTAATATCCTCACAAAGATGACACATCCGTAGTGGACCCGGGCGGCAGAGGGAATGAACATGTTCAGGGTAGATGTCAGCACGATGGCAGCACCAAAAACTCTGGATAAACAGCATTACAAGATTATTTGTCAAATTTGTATCAAAATGAAATCTGTATGTGGCTCAAGGAAAAGAAAAGCGGGGTCTGCATCTTTTTGATCAACTGCAAATATCAGTAAACAGTAGACTGAATCCTATATTTTAAATTTGTATAATATAGTGGAAGAATAAACACTCATAATCAAGACAAACCAGTCCTAATTGGGTGCCACACACAAAAGCGCGCACACAACAGGCTGTTATTCGGTTTCCAGGGGAGTGAGAACAGGAGGTGTTTGCAGCAGAAGGCGTCAGAGGGCTCAGCTGACTTGGTATGATGAAGCTCTTCAAAGATTCATTTAGATTCAGTTTTAACAATCCTGTAATGTTAATGTAATAAGGACCCATGCTGCGAGCTTAGCGCACTTTATTTTTCCTTGCATCTCCTTCTTTCTGCAGTATCTGTCTACACTGCGCTCTAATATTGATCGACAGTTTAACTGTTAGGTTTTTTTTAAAAAGAATGATCGTTTTGTATATTTATCTATATTTCCAGTCAGCTGCTAATGAAATAATAAGGTATAGAAGTGGGACGCGGTGGTTGAAATCACGCTACAATCTTTGCTTAGAAGCACTTCGCACACATGGCTTTGGCCGGTGTGGTTGCCATGCCTCTGAACATAAAGGATTAGACACGGTGGTCCCGTGGGAGCTCATTAACATGAGGAGGCACGCCTGGCGGGCATCAGCCAAATCCCCAGTTTATCTGCAGGTTTCTCCAAACCTACTGGTTTGCCAACAAGTCTGCACACTAAATTATACCTTTTTTGTTCGTAGATACAATGGGAAATCAGTAGGAAACCGATATTTCCTAAATATAATCTCCTCAAAGACCTAACTCAAAAAATGTGTATAGTTTTACCTGTTTGCAGCCAGCCTGGAGGAGATGTACCCTCCTGGAATCTGAGTAACTATGTAGCCCCAGAAGAAGGAACCGTGAATCATCCCCACAGTCTCCGGGTCCCAGTTGAATTTCGCTTTCTTTCAGGCACATAAAAATAAAAACAAAATTACGTCTCTTTTAATTCGCTGTAGTGTGTATCGCAGTGAGATCACTTTTTCGTTTTTTTCCCTAAGTGGTAAGTGTTACAGGAGAGAAATATTTGCAGAAAAGTGTATATAAAATGTAATGTTTCGCAGTGAAATTGACCTCTGTGATTATCTAAAATGATTTTTTTTTAAATCACAATTTCCAATAAATTTACAACAAAAAAGCGCCAACTATACTCATTTTGCTAATTACTCTGTTAACACATGAAAGGCACTTGAAAGGGACAACAGACTCAGTTCTATCTCACCACCTATCACACATAAGAGGGTGGGGTAGGGTGGGGTGTAGGATGGGGTTCATGGTGAATGAAGAGGCGGGGTTTACAGGCACCTCTTTGATGATTATCTTCCCGTTTTGGTGGATTGTGCTGTTATTGACCATGCTGACGATGGCCACACCCAAGTTACACCGGATACCGAAGGAGATGCAGAAGCCGAGCCCGCTCAGCATAGCGATGATGTATCTGCGCGGCAGCCCGAAGCACGTGCAGTCACACAGGGGCGTCTTCCGCTCCTCGTCCGCTCGCGGTCTCCCATCCTCCGTCAGCTCGATCGCTTCACCTGTTTGCTGCCGCTTTTCGAGTCTCCTGCATTTCGATTATATAATACTCATTTTTTT